TATGAATTTTTAAATTGTTCAAAAATGAGGCCAAAGACCCTGTACTATCATAAACCACATTTTTCCACAAATAACATGAAGAACATTTTCAATTTTTATTATAGATATGCATGTATATTGATTTTCTGATGCATATACATGTACTTATGTTGTGTAGAAAGTTTGAACTAAATCCGATCAAAATTGAATTTTTTAGGAATTTTTTAATTTACTCAAAAATCAGACAAAAGTCCCTGTACTATAGTACAGGGTCATTGGTCAAATTATGCCAAAAATGGAAAGATGAGAATTCTCCATTTTTATTACATTTTCTGATGCATATACATGTACTTATGTTGTGTAGAAAGTTTGAACTAATTCCGATCAAAATTAGATTTTTAACGAATTTTTAAATTGCTCAAAAATCAGGCCAAAGGCCCTGTACTATAGTACACCAAATTTTTTCAAAAACAAAAAGGAGAACATTCTCCATTTTTATAATAGATGTACATTTACATGTATGTTCTTGCATTAATACTCACTCCTTCATAGAATCCTTTAAGGTAAGTCATTTCTTTTGCTTTATCAAGCTGCACTCGATCATTCTGCGACTGAACCTTCATCTGGTCACAAGCAACCTCTGCAGCCATGTCACCCAAACCAGGTATGTGGATGATTGGAACCTGAATCAGAATCAAGTATGGGAATGGAAGTATGAAAAATAATAAATTAATATTTGTTGTTCTTACAGGATCAAAAGGTAGGACCATTTCATCTTTAATGCCATACTTCTCCCTAAATGCCTACAGGAAATAAATGATTAACTATACTGTAGTAATATTAATAGTGATAATAAAATAATTGGTGACCTAAATAGTGTATGTACATGTACATGTACATGAAGAGATTAAAATTAATGTTTTTACTTTCTTTTTCTTGAGGTCTCTCAAAGCAGCATAATCATCAGGAGCATCTGATGGAACTGAAGTAACTACACCAGTACCTAATGTATGATAATAATAATAATTTATTATGAATAGCAATCAACTATGAGACATATACAGTACACGTATTAATATTCAATAACACTGTACCAATGCATGCATGCACATGTATTTTGAAATGGGTGACTTTCATTTATATTTTTTAATAGAAAAAATTAGCATTGGCAAACAAAAAGATGTTCCTTCCTTCCTGGATACTCAAATATACTAAAGATACTTCAACAAATTAATTCATTATATAAAGTGCTGTAACCTGCTGCATGCATTGTTACACCCCTGATCCCTAAAGGTCCCAAATGGATTATATGACATATCATATTTTGTTCCATTATGGGGTGTAACACTGTTGTTTTATAATACATAAAGTATGGCATTCCACATATCTCAAGCTATTCCAGGTGTCATAAAGTGATCAGAATCTCTAAACAAAAAGTTTATATATCATCAACAAAGGAAACAACAATGGGTCCCAATACTTTTTTGGCAATTACTATTGTAATACTAGCCATTTCCATTGGGACATCGGTTGCAGTGCTATTAGTTGGATGGATCTATTTCACACCAGAGTGGATGTTGAGGAAAGTGTTTCCATACATCAAAAAGAATGGTAATGATATTGTAATATTTGGTTTTATAATTAAAAAAAAATTATTCAAAATACAATGGATTTATACAATGTATGTTATTACATGGATTCTAATTATTGTTTTATTCAATACTTTCCTCAATTTTTCTACAAAGTACAATCCTTATGATGGACTGGACTGTTTTGGGTACTACAATGGCTCTGAATTTGAGTTGACTTCAGAAGAACAAGCAGAGTCAGAAAATGTAACAGAAATAAGATGCTATGGTTGGAATTTCGATATTGCTGGAGGAATAGGACATGCAGCAGCTATACTGACTCTATCATGGCTATTTTCATCTATTGTAATGTGGATCAAACTAAGGTTGTACTACAAAGTAGACATCTCTATAAAAAAGGGCAATTTAAATCGCGGCTTATTAAGCTACATGGGATTATTTCTATTTCAAGCTATACTTTTTATAGGAAGCATCGCACCAATATGTGCAGTTCAATATTTAATCCCCGTATTATCCATATACCAAATATTTGATATCATATTAATCTGCACTATTCTACTGTCAGGGTTCTTAGTACTCCCTATTCATAAAAAGCCAAAATCCCTGGCAGAATACTGTAAAGAGGCAGTAGAGAATAGGCAAGGGAGAGAGGAAGAAGATTTAGTGCCAATAAGAAACAGATTAACAGAAAGTGTCCAAGGTCACCAAATTCAAGTTGACTTTCTAGTGGAACTGGCAGAATTGGAATGCAAGAAGGCACTGGCTGATATTTATTATTATGGCAGTAAGAAAGACAAGACTAGAATTACATTTGCATGCACAGAAAATTGTGCAAAAACTGCAAATAAATGTAAGGCTAATTGTTCATGTATGAACACAGAGGATGAAGAAACAAATACAAATACAGATACTATCAGTGAAAGGGAGATGAAGATAATAGCTCAAGTTGCTTATTATAAGGTAACTGGGGACCTTCAACAGCAAAATAACGACCAACGAAACCATTTTCTGATTAAAATAAGCAAGACAAATGTGCTAGACTA